ACACACACACCACACACACACAACACACCCACACACCACCAACACACACACACCACCACACACACATACCACATACACACACACAATACCACAGTACACACACACATATATATATATATTATATTTATATATATATATATAATATATATAATTATATATATATATATATATTATATTTATTTATATAATATAATATATTTATATATATATGTATATGTACATGTATACATACAGACACACACGTGCATATATGTTATATCTACATAAATATGTATATATAATATATATGTATATATACATATATATATATATATATATATATATATATATATATATATATATATATATATACATATATATACATATATATATATATATAATATATATATATATATATATTTTATATATTTTATATACGTATGTACATGTATACATACAGACACACATGTGCATATATGTATATCTACATTAAATATGTATATAATATATGTATTATGCATATAATATATATATATATATATTATATATATATATATATATATACATACATATATATATATATATATATATATACATATATATATATATTTATTTATATACGTATGTGTACATGTTACATACAGACACACACGTGCATATATGTATATCTACATAAATATGTATATAATATATATGTACATATGCATATAATGTTTGTATTATATATATATATATATATATATATATATATATTATATATATATGTTTACATATATGCATGTACAATATATATATATATATATATATATATTATTATATATATATATATATTATGTATATGTATATTATATAAATTATATATATGTATGTATGTATGTATGTATGTATGTATGTATGTATATATATATATATATATATTATATATATATATATACATATATACACACTACTAGGTGTATTAAGCTGACCATTTTCTCATAGAGCGCGACATACCCGGAACCTCGAGCACAGCGGCGTTCTCTCCCGCCGCTGCTCTGACGAGGGCGGCGGCGGCGAGGGGGACGGCGGCGCTGCTATTGGCGGAGTGCCAGTACGCCGAATACACGCCGTCGCCTCCCGTGGCGTCGGGGGCTGCGGGTCATGAGGTGGCTAGTCCAGTGCGGTCATTTCAAAATCAGTGGCAGAACGTGCCACCATGCCTCCGTTCATTCACTTTCGTGTTTACAGAGGTTATAAAATGCAGTGTACTTAAAAATACAGATAATTATAAATATAATTATATACTTATACAGTCTGTAAACTGTAGCTGTAAATTCCATTTACTGCCTATTAGAGGGCAAAAAAGTATATATGGGCTCCAATCTGTTATTATTCCATAGGCCTAACACGCTAAGCAAAATATGAATGAAAATGAAACCTTCACAGTACGATAGTTCAGTAAATTTTGCTTTCACACTTCTCATCAGATACCACTGTCCTCATCTGTTGTAAGAGATAGAAAAAATGTAAGGGTGAGAATGGACGATTTCAGAATGCATTCCGATGTTGCAAATTCGGAAGACAACTCCCGATGAAGATGTAGCGTTTAAATATCGTTTTCCTCCGCCCACGAGACTCACCTCCGCTGCCGTTGTCAAACAGAGGGATCCTGGTCTCGCAGTCGCCGTCGCCGCTGCACTCCGTCACCGTTGCGACCACGACGCCGCCGAGGACTGCCTTCCCGTCCTTGGTCACCTGGCGTGGCGAGAAATGGTGTTAGTGCTTCTAAAGACACATGCTGCACGCAATCACACAATCACAAACACACACACACATGCACGCAATCACACAATCACAAACACACACACACACATGCACACACAATCACAAACGCACATACGCACACATAATCACAAACACACACACGCACACACAATTACAAACACACACGCACACACAATCACAAACGCACACACAATCGCAAACGCACACACAATCACAAACACACACACGCACACACACACAACACACTCACACGCACACACGCACACACACACAACACACCACGCACACACAATATCAAAAAGACGCATGCACACACAATCACAAACACACACAACAATCAAACAATCAGCCACCGCGGAACAGCCCGCTCACCCTAGCCGTCATCACCACGGGGTCAGAAGAGTCCCCGAGCGCGACGTCCTGCAGAGGCGCGGACACCCGGACGTCCACCAGGACAGCCTCCTCCTTCAACCGACTCCTCGCGACTGGCCCGCTTAGCCCAGGCCACCGTGACAAGGCAGATGGGTGTCCCACTGTACCCTGCTGGAAAACGAGAATGAAAGAGTAAATGCATATCTGAAATGAAAGAAAGAAAAAATATGATGCATTGATGTAATTACCTGTAATTGCATAGTTTTATTGTGGGGTTTGTTAATAAAAAAATGCGTTATATGTAAAGCTATGCACATATAGCTTAATGAAATCATCTTACAGAGAGGGGGAACGTTGGTTTGCTAATTTTGACATCAGACCTTTTTCATATATGCACATTTATATATATATGTCTGTGTGTGTGTGTGTGTGTGTGTGTGTGTGTGTGTGTGTGTGTGTGTGTGTGTGTGTGTGTGTGTGTGTGTGTGTGTGTGTGTGATTACACTTGTCAATCCCATACAAATCATAAGTAAATTCCTCCTCCTACTACTTTCAGTAACATAATGTCCATAAATGAAAGTCTCACCCAAATTCTCGCAGCACACAAAGGGGATAGTGGCGGCACACATTTTGGGAATCACTGATATAAGAAGTCATGTCAACAATAGTAGTGGCGGTGGTGTAGGTATAATATAGTATAAGAATATATAGTGAATAAATGACAGTTAGCCTAATTAAAATCACATAGAACCTTTCTTCATCAGTTACACACCTGAGTCAAGGTAGGTTCATCTGGTACAGTTTCCTGAGGTTCAGCCAGGTTGACGAGGGCGCCCATGTCCAGCACGTCAGCAAAACCCGATTTTCTCTTCACAAACACTACGGGGATCACACTCGTGCAGTCCGTGTTCCCTAGTGTTAAATTCCAAGGTCCCTTGCGTAAGACAAGAGAGGGAATATGAAGTACGATTTGATGACATTTTGATGAGAAAGATAACTATTCGAAGAAAATGCCTGAAAGTTAAATGACTGAGGCTGGTACGAATTTAATCTAAAAATTATGAGAATTTTAAAGTAACTCTGTTTGTTCACAACCGGATGCACAGCATACCATGACAAACCATAACATAACACAATAGTGTCGCCGATAAGCACGCACACAGCAGACTCACTGGAATAGTAAACAAAACCGAGAACAGATCAGCTGTGTCAAGGAGCTCCGGCTGGCCGAGCAAAAGGTTTTGATCGCCTTCGCTATTGTGGAGGGAAACCGTCCCATTGGAATCTTTTTCACGGTGGATAACGAGGAAGCCATCTGCTGGCAACAGCGTGTCTTCTAAGAGGAAGGTTTTAACGCATCCGGGCTCTTTGCTTGGTGGGATTTCCTGGCAGAGGGGACAGTAGGCCATGATTAGGATAATTATTACGATGAAGTGGATTATAATTATAATTATGGTGATGGTTATGCTCATAGTGTGGTAACAATTACTCGATGGTACAAGACTACTAAAAAATTCCTGCAAAAGCAGCGAACGTGAGAGGCATAGACGTACTAGTAGTGACTGCAATTATTACAGTTACAGTCATATCATTATATTATCATTGTTCATCAATACTGCTATTACAATGATAACAATCACTATGATTGTTATCATTATGATTACTAATGTCATCGCATTGCATTATCTGGCCCGCGCAACCCGCCCAGAAATCCTCCCTACCTGCAAGAGCTCGCCGTCAGAAGAGGCCTGGTCCAGCTGGTGCAGGTAATCCAGCAGTTTGATCTTCGTATGCAGCGTGGCGTGGGAGTCTTCAACTCTCAGAACCTTTCCCGGGGGATTCGATGCCATTGTCTCGTACCACGTGGTATTTGAGGAAGCGTTTGTGATGTATAGGATCGACATCACCTGTCGGCCGCTCTGAGCCGAGCCGAGGTCGACGGCGTTCATCTCGTGACAGAAGAAATTCTCTGAAGGAACTTCGTCCGGAGGCTGCGTGATCAGGATGATCTTGCCGTGGTCACGTGCCAATGGGTTGGAATATAACACCTGGAAAGATGATTTTTCATCGCATAATAGAATAGTTGCACATTCTATTTGCAAATAAGCATCGCCAAAGATAAGGTTATCATTTGAGTTATTCCAAGGAAATTTTCCTCAAGAAATGATTATATAGATTTAATCGATTCATTATCGTCACTAAAATGCAGTAAGGGATTGCTGACTATTTTTACGTTCTTTCCTTTACTTCTTGTTCTAATTTCATTTTTCTCTCTTTGACCTTTAACCCCTTGATGAAACACTGACCGTGGCTGCCTCTCCAATCGCCATCTGCAGGTCGCGGCAAAGCCCCGGCTCGGTCTCGTTCGCGAACTGGCGCAGCGCTTCGGCTGCAGCCTGGCGCGCGCCGGCGGACGTGAGCGCGACCTCGGCGACCAGGTGGACGTCAGAGGCGAAGGCCATCACCCACACCTGAGGGAGAGGCTCTTAGCACCGGCAGAAGTCTCTTTGAGGGACGAAATAAGGGTCAAGGGTGACCTAACCATAAAGTGGAAGCGGTGATTATGAAACATTTATTCTGGATATTTCCAAGTCGCAAAATATTGACTTGTGTATCGATCTTAACTTCTAAGACGTTGATTCTCCAACTGGGGAGCGAGTTTCAGAATTGTTAAATAGAATGAAATAATGAGAATTTGAGGTTTGAACCCTCCTTCACTTTACCTTTTTAAACTCTCGCCTTTTCTCGATACCTCCTTGGCTTCCTTTTCCCTCGCTTTCCTTTATCCTCGTTTCCCTCTATCCTATTTATCTGTGGTATTCTAAGTCGTCTGTACATTCGAAGGTTCACGATTAAAGGTACTGACTACGCAATTGGACAAATATAAAGTAAGAGACAAATGTCCTCTGCTCTACGCTTCCTAGACTGACTAACTGTTGAGTTACGTTCAGTTATGGAATGAGTAAAGTCGCCCAAGAGGCCGGTAAGGAGACCCAGGAAGTCGCCCAAGAGGCCGAGAAGGAGACCCAGGATACCCTTTTGACTTCCTATTCCCTCGCTTTCCTGTATCTTTGTTTCACTCTATCTTACCTATCTGTGGTATTCTAAGTCGCCTGTACATTATTTCTATTCGATCATTTCCAGAGTATACTGTATATCATCCATTTCCCTTAATCAATTTCTCTTAATTTCTTTTCATTTCCTAACGGTCTGCTTATTCTCTATTCCCCATATCGGTGGTACTAACCTTGGTACCCCACGCGAGATCATGGAGCAGGTACTGAATCACACTGTCGTGCAGGTACTCCCACTTATGATCTACGTTCACCATGTCCGCTGTGTATTCCACCAGAAGCACAATGTACTCTCGCCGTAAATGTTCCACGTTAATTATCAATCCACTGGCTGGTTCGCTGTGAGAAAATCAATTGGATTATGATGAATGGTGTGGAAAAGATGTCTTGTTTAAGTGTGTGTGAGATGCGATCTCATGATTATTATCAGATATTTCTGATACTTGTATGTGTATGTGTTTTCCGTGTATGAGCGGTGGGCATAAGTATGCATATGTATAAGCCTATTTTATTTTATACTATTGTTTTAAGAAACACAACAGCATTAATTGAATTACCTGGAATTTAGTGCAAAATCTGCATGACTTCTCATGATCTCCCACGCACTCTTTCCCTGACAAAGGTTATTGTGGCGAGACTCAGTGAAGACGTGACTCTTTAGAGCACACAATTAAAATAAACCTGCCTGCATGACTTCTCATGATCTCCCACGCACTCTTTCCCTGACAAAGGTTATTGTGGCGAGACTCAGTGAAGACGTGATTCTCTGAGTCACAGAACTGGATGATGCTTTTCCACTCATCCTGAAGCATAAAATGAGCGCTGAAATACACTGAAACCGAGAATCACGGAGAATGCCTTTGGGTTCGGACAAACCGGACCCAAGGAAAAAAGGACCTTGCTGTCACATTTCTTCGTGCTGCACTTTAATGCTAAATGTGTCCAGCTCAGTTACTTGTTTCAGTCACCCAAAGTTGCCCATAGATTTTATAGAATCGCGTCAAGTCACTGGATTTAATGAATCTGCGTGGAAATAAATATTAGAGGTGCGATCATCAGAGATAGGGAATCAGAGGGAGACAGTCTGAGAGAAAAACTGCGAGAGATAGACTGAGAGATAATGATAATAATAATAATAATAATGAGACAGACAGACAATCAGCCAGATAGGGAAAGAGAGAAAGGAAGGGAGGAGGAGGATCAGAGAGGGGGAGGCGGGAGAGAGAGGGAAGAGAGAGAAGAGAAACTCGGTGAAAAAACTAAGCAAATGAAACGACAAGCCCCCAAGCCTTACTTCCCCGTGGTTGTCCGCCAGAGAGAGAAGGGAAGACGTTGATTTCAGCCAGTTCCCTCCGTCCAGACATAGATTATTCTCCTCCTTCCCTGCTTCTGTGCCTTCTCTTGTAAAGGGATAGAGGGGGTCGCCCTTATACCCGTGCTCCTCGAAGACGCCCCAGCGGTACTTCGCCCACTCCTGCGCGAGCTTCTTTCCTGCAAGAGGCGAGGCGAGGTTCTTGAGACCAAGGGCCCAGGACGGACAGATGGAGAATGGAATAAGTAAAAAGTTTCTTAGTTTTGCTGTCGGGAAGACTCAGTTATATAACATTTTACTGCATTTAACGCTTCATCACACAAGGAAAATGTGCCAACGAGAAGATAAAACGAAAACACGGTAAACCTCAAATCATTACGGATCACAGGTAGTATTTTCTACCTTTACCTCTTCGGGAATCGGACGTATCGTTCAGGAAAGATCTATCCAGGAAGATGAAGTCACCAGGATGGCCGCAAGGCAGACGGTGCTGGGTCCACGCCGGCGCCGCGATAACCGGATGCTTGTCGGCCACCAGCAGATGAGGGGCCTCTGCGCTCGCCAGGTACACGCTCTCGACTTTAGTATTTCTATTCAACAAGAGTTGAATAGATATAGTGAATAAAAGAAGATAATAATTCAAAATTGGGTAAGATGGTGAGAGTGAGTCGAATTCGGGGTGGGTGATGAAGACAAGTGATGATTTCGGTCAGTCGAGAAACGGCGAGAGTGAATCTGGATATGTTGTGTTTAGTAACAATGAAAAGTGTCTTACGGTAAAATCGGCGATAGAATTTCCCAGTGTTCGGGGAAAAGGACTGTCATCTTTCCAAACTTAATCCGGTCGCCGGTAGCTTTGGTAAGAACGTTTGAAGCTTCCTGCACCACATTCTGAAACAAGAGAGGAAAGAAGAGAAATATGTCTTTCTTGCTCATATTTTCATCGCTAGGTGCATGATCATGGTTGCTTTTCCACCAGAAAGAAAATGTTTATAAAATCTAAGCTAACACATAGGGTCACCGAAGGAAGTCTCGCTTTTTCTTTTTATTCTGGATCTCTGTCCATCACTGACAGAGGACCCACGATTGACGTAAAAAGCTGCACGTCCCTTGGGGCTCTCAAGGCGGCCTAGGGATTTTTGCATGGTTAGTTTGCAAATGAAACTAGGGGATACAATTGTTCTAAATAAGATCATAGAAGAGACGAAAGGCCGTGTCACACTTGGACTTTTTCGGCATTACTTTTCCACTGGCACCACGGAAATCGAGGTCATTTTGGCTCGCGCAGTCACACTAGCGATGAGAACCACGGATACAGTCCGACCAAAATTCTAAACACAGAAATATGGGTTCAATCCCCGCACAGGCTCTGGCGATGATGGACGTTATTCAGGGTATGTGGCGACGATTTAATGCGAAACAACGATTGTATAGTGCTAAATAAGGGCGTATTCTCGCTATTCTCATCGAGTCAGCTGACGGGGGAACGACACAAATGTAAACAAACAGGCGAGCAGCTAGTTACAAACTTGTATCTGTTTTTATTAAATACAAGAGAGAATTTTGCCAATTTTAAAATATTATTTACAGTGTAGACTGTCTGTTTGAATCGTTTTATATTATAAATGCTTTTTTTACATTACTATAACGATTATCTATTATAGCTTATCATTTGAACCAAAACAGACCACGGAAACTTGCCAGCGAAAACGATAATTATCGTTTGACTGGAATTTATCGCATTCATCCAAAATACAAGAGGTAGCGAGAAAAAAAACACGGAAATTGTGCTAGTTAGACACCCCCTTAAAATCATCACGCACATGGATTTGCAACTTTAATGTCGAAGAGAGGAACTCGATTCTTAGTGTACGTTTTAAGAAAGGTCTTGTCGTATAAACGTAAAATAACGAGCGAATATTTCAAGGTCAGCTTAAGGCATTACGAATAGATCCTTTTCACTGGGGAAAGGGGGAAATACTTTCAGAATTATTCAAGAAACTGACAAAAGTGACAGAAGAGTACCAAAGCATGCAAAAAGTTAGCGCCTGTGAATATTTAACAGAGCCTATGGACATTAACGACTGGATTCCTCAGAGGAGAGCACTTGCGGCACTGATTCACAGCGCTCTCGAACAGCACTCTCATGGGTGCATTTTTAGTTTTATGGTTAGATGTGTTCTATATTGTTTATTAATTTATATACCTTGAATCTTTGGACTTTGTAATTAAAGTGCCTTATTTTTATGCCATTGTCGTTTAGGTATTTTATAAAATAAAAGAACAAAAATGTTGATGTGACCTGACAACCGATTAATATAATATATTATTATTTCTACATACTGTAGGAAGTTTTAGTATCTGAGTAGGAGTTCCATATTCATTTATAATGTATCTCTGTATATTACCTACACATGTTGACCTCGTTAGGGGCAGCATATATCCTAAACTGTAACGTGCCATCAAAATGAATATTTGAAGTTAAACTGTCAGTTCTTACTTCTTTGTTGCTATATTACAAAAATATTAGGGTCATATGCTGACACTGTGATGTGATCGTTGACAGTGATTTTGGTATTACTGTTTAAGCTAGAGCATTACAGCAACATGTTTATCATATAACTTTGAAATTAGTTAATGTTTATTTAACAATGTTTGCACATTTCTGGATAAAAGGTTGTTAATTGATGAAATGTTCACTTACTATCAAATTCTCAAGAAGTTCAGAGACATTTTCCGCTGGGTCTCCACTAACGGCGACGACAAGGTTATTGTATACATCGTCTAGCAGCGGAAGGCTTTTTGCGTGTGCGCCCTCAAGCCCCGCCGTCGTGCCGGGCTCTGCTCTCAAGCCCACCCCTGTCACCGCCATAAGGACACCCACAAGGCAAAGTTCTCGTGTCATCTGACCGAAAAAAAACTTGACCGCTCGTTTTCTTGCCCGTAAAACTACAAATGAAGTAAGCCGGGTGCAAATACCTGAGCACTTCACTTCACGCTTGGATGCTAACTAACCACGGTAGACAGCGTTATCTAGTCGTCCCGACAATTGCGATTAAATTCCAGATAACGCGATATCGTATGCTCTTCTTTTTCAGGAAAAAAAAAGATAATTAAGTGCGTTGCCGACTGATATCTCTATGGATTTATATTGACGCAACAGTTACAGAAACACACGCGTGCATTCAAAAACAGAATTTGCTAGTTTGCATGCGGGTGTGACTGGTGGATGTAGATGAGGTAGGGGGTAGGTGTCCTCCTGTAAAAGACCCCTGCTCACCCACCCACACCCCCACCCCCAGCCGACCCTGGAACCGTTTAGTTCCCAGATTTGTAATTACAAAACACAAAGTGGAACTTTTCTATAGTATTTTTAATCTCTATACGAACAATAGATCTAAAGAAGTGAGGCTTACACACACAAATCCTTTATCGCATGGCTGAAATAAATTCGAAAAGATAATAGTTTATCTAAAATTGGCTTCCCCCCTGCTCAGTT